TCACAGCATCGCAGCCTGATCCGTGCTCCCTCGTGTCAGGTACACGCCGAGGGCGGCGGGGAAAACACATCTAAACATTAATGCACGCATACCCACATATGTACACATACGTATACACATGTGTACCTTTCTGCCGCTTGTCTGGTGTGTATGCCCGTTCAGATGGCCCGTTGCACTGCCTGAAGGCCTCCCCGCCTCTCTCTTCGTCCGCCAGCCCCCCTCCCCTCTCCCTCTCCACCACCCCACACACCAGCGACACCCTCATGATGATGGACGCGACAGAGTATGTGATGATTCCGCAAGGAGGCAGGAAACAGGCCCGGTAAGCGGAGATCCCCTCTCGTCTCATCGATGACCTCAACAAACAGAGGCCCACGTCCAGCCGGGAGACCACCAAGAGCTGGATAGAGGGCGGATGGACCGCGCTCAGCCGGGCCGGCCTTGTGGGGTGGGTCAAGCGCCACTGGTGCGTGTATGAGCCTTTTTTCCCGACCAAGCCCACCGGCGACCGCACTGTTGTCACTCAACCACGACGAATGCCCGCAGATTTGGTCGACGAGCTGGTGGATGTCGCTGACAAGAGGGTCAAGGTCCTCCAGGATGACGACAGCGCCGACGGCGACGCCGACGAGGACCAGCCGGCCAGCCAGGCGTCGGATGCGTCATCGATCGCTGAGCCGGACCGTCTGGAGAAGGACGAGATACGGCACAGGGTCCTCATGGCCCTCGAGAAAGACTTCCCCTTTCGCCCTTTGTCGCAGCTGAAGCTCTCGTCTCACCTCCAGAAAGAGGTCGGGCGCTTCCAGAAATGGATCCCCAGTATATCCGTCGCTGGTCGCAACTTCCAGGTGGGTGAGGGCGAGGGAGGCAGAGAGACACCTGGACGCTGCTACATATGTGCTCATGTGTTGCTTCAGGCGCCGTTTCCTCTTCCCCCGCTGCCGCCGCCACCACCAGGACCCCTCCACAGTCGACGGCTCTCCCGCCACCCACTGTTCGACCGCCTCGTCCTCAGCTGCCCCCTTCTGCCGCAGCAGCTGCTGCCCCGGCCGGCCCACCACGCAACGCAGAGGGTCTTGAGGAGCACGATTTCTCCTCCCCACCTCCGTCACCTGCCTCCCCACCACCGGGCGCGCCGCTCCCCCGAGCGATGACGAATTCGATGAATTCGACGCTGGCAGCGTTGTGCCTGAGGACGATGCCTCCGTGCAGGACGACGACATGGACGCCGCCGATGAAGAGCCTGCTCTGGCTGATGACCTGGATACGGCAGACGACGAGCAACAGCTGCCTCTGCAGGGGGAGGATGGGATGTCGCACATCACATCCGGCAAATTCGAGGTCGTCCGTCGCATCGAGGAGGGGAGAGACGACAGGAACACGGGCATCTGGGTGACTGAGATACTCGAAAAGAGGGAGTACAGAGGAGCGGTGGCAGGGCTCCATGTGACTGCCGTACAGCTGCGGGTGACGACCTCGCCAAGCTGCTGACCGGCTGGCCGGAGATAGTGACCCACACGTGGGCAGTCGACGTGCCCGTTGACCATCCCTCGCCGAGAGTCAGCATCCCTCTCAGCATCTCTGCCGATGGTGCTCAACTGCTGCGCGGCGTCGCCAACTCATCGGTAAGCTAAGCACACAGAAGCAATTCATTCACTGCTCTCATTACGAACATTATTCATCCATTCTTTCTTCCTTTCTTTCTTTCAGGCTGTCACCTTTGGGATGAGAGCCGTCACCAATCACCTGCCAGGCGATCGACATCCAGTGTGGTCATCCCAGTCACGAGGTGCCTTGCCGTCTGACCTTCAATGTGTCGTTCCTCGGTGACCAGGTCAGCAGCCACACGCGATGTACGGCAAGACGAACTGCTTCATTCGCTTGCTTGTTTGCTTCACTTCTTTGCTTGTTTGCTTCACTTGTTTTTGTGTTTGCTTCACCTGTATTGCAGAAGTTCATTCTCTGTATCCCTGGGATGGGCGGTGCCGGTCTGAAGACGTGCTGCTCGCTCATGGCAGCCACTTCGTCACCTGGCTCAACCACATGGACGAATTCATGGATGCCATCGACGAGCCAGCAAATGGACCCGTGCGCCTGGCCTTCATGACATTTGAGTGAGAAGGGGGGAACACACAGACAATCACACGTATGTGCATGCATGTGTGTGTGTGTTGCTTGATGTGGCTGTTATGCAGCTGGATAATGAGCTGTGCGTTGCGTTCCAAGGCGCCCACACGCGGCGATGAATAGTGCTCAATCATCTGTGACTCTTTATCCATCCGCTGGTGTGACTGACTGTTTATTCGTTCCATGAGACTCTTCATTCATTCAATGACTGTCAATAGCCACGAAGCCAGTCAATCGTATATGTACATGAATGCGATCAACGAGTGAGAAACACAAGCAAACATGCAAAATACTCACCCCAGACCCTCCACTCCCTCTTCCATGTATGCCATCTCCGCCGCATTGAGCTCCATTGCCGCCTGTGCGGCATAGAAGAGTGGCACCTCCTCTGCTGCCTGTGGGTCGTCCTCGAGGTCTCCCCCGTGCTGATGCGCGGCCTGCCCCTCAAGCAGTGCGGGTGCGTCAGCAGCGGGCACAGCAGCACCCTCAGCGGGCTGTGGGTGGGCGGCGGGCACAGCAGCACCAGCAGCGGCCGGTGGGTGAGCCGGAGGGGCGTGCGGCTGGAGGGGTCGAGTCGTGACTGACGTGAACTTGAAGATCGCCTCGCAGATGTGCGCTGGGCCGACCCGCAGCGGCGACAGCTTGAAGTACACGGGCGTGTCTTCGTCCACCTTGACGGAATTCTGAAGGCGCGTAAGCAGAGAAAGACAGATTGGTGTGTCATTCCCCCCTTATTTCATCTCTCACCTTCTGTGTGTTGCCTTCGATTGTTCTGTGCTGGCGCCCCTCGAAGCACAGACTGCTGCCCAGCAAACGCTCCAGACTGGCCCTCGCCCCATCCCCCCTCACAGCGACGACCGACCACACAGGCGTCCGCTCCACCAGCTCGTCCTCCCCCAGCATGGCCCGGCGGGTGGGCGAACGGCCCTCGGCGGTCAGCTTCGTGGGGCTGAAGTGCCGCTCCACCCTCGGCGTGGGGGACTTGGGCTCGAGTGCGTCACCAGCCGTCTGGGTCCGCTGGTACAGCCACTGCACAGCCTCGACTGCCGTGTGAGCGCTGCATGTGCCCGTCGCCCTGGCCCAGTAACCGTCTGTGGTGATGCCGTCGTGGCTCTTGGAGGGGCGGATGACGACAATGGGCGGAGGGGAAGGGTTGTGCTGGGCAAGGAAGCGGAACATCGACCCCTCCAGCGACCGAAAGACGGCATACATTTCTCGAAGAATGCGGTACTGGTCGGGCTGGTTGGACGATTCTGCGTCGCTGAGTGCTGCCTCCCACCCCTCGCCGAGCACGCCACCCTCCATGCAGAAGTCGAGGCTGCCCACGGACGTCACCCCGTATGTCTTCTTGTTGGAAGTCGGGGGAATCGTGACGGGGTCGATGGCGGCGAACTGGCGACTTCGTGCAGGACCATCCTTGAACCCCTTCAGCCCCTCCGCTGGTTGCGCGTCCGCTTGGCGAGAGGCCCAGTGATCTCCTCGCTGTCACCATCGCCCTCGTGGCCAACGGCATCCACGTCCATCATCATGAGGGTGTCGCTGGTGTGTGGGGTGGTGGAGAGGGAGAGGGGAGGGGGGCTGGCGGACGAAGAGAGAGGCGGGAGGCCTTCAGGCAGTGCAACGGGCCATCTGAACGGGCATACACACCAGACAAGCGGCAGAAAGGTACACATGTGTATACGTATGTGTACATATGTGGGTATGCGTGCATTAATGTTTAGATGTGTTTTCCCCGCCGCCCTCGGCGTGTACCTGACACGAGGG